AATCATCTAGCAGAATTTTCAAACGGTACCTAGGGAACCGGTCAAATACATGTTCTAGTCCTTTGAGCCTTCATCTTTATCCTCAGTTGGGGCATGCATATTCAGTGTCATGATATCACACCAACGACCCGTTAGAGTTACATACGGCAAACTGCTGAAATAATCCTATTATGTACGAAAAATCCTGTCCCAAAGTGGTGATTAACGTTCCCTTTTCCATACAAAAATGTATAATTTTCTGCTGTTTGACATCCCTTCCCTTCCCTTCCCACTAAATCTGGCTTGAACTTCTCTAACTCCCCCACTACTGACTTGATTGAACCTATCCTGTAGAGATTACATATTCCAAGTGCCAAATCTCATGCCTTTCTCACATTTCAGTCGTGCTAAAGAATCAGACCAAGTCCCGAGGCACTTTTAGACATTTCATAACAAAATTAAGTTTTTACGGTGAGGGGTTGTTAACCCCACGCCCAACCCCCAAGCTAGAGGACCACTCCTTACCCGTGACTGCTTATTCAACATATTCACAGCTACCCTCCATATCTGGAGTCCTTCTCTATCCGCAACCTGAGGACGCACCAAGACGTGGTGACGAGGGAGTCTCCTTACATGGGGAGTGACTGAACACACTGAGAAAAATGATAAGTTGTTATCATACGTTGTCTTTAGAACCTTACAGCTCATTACCTCCAGCCACTGGATAGGTTGGTTCTCAAATCGCTCAAAGCTCATTATTATGAAGCAGTGAGGAGATGATTTACAGAAACGCAGGAAAATAAGTCGCTCTCCTTGATTTTAGCGAACGTTTGAAAGATGGGCGGGGAAAAGTTGCTACAAACAAAAAAACTCCACCTCTGGCTTGGAAGTAACTGAAATTTACCTCTTCGGGGCTTCGATAATTCAAAACCTCGTACAGTAGTAATAGAGATGATAATATTAATTTCTAGTGTCTGTGCCTTGCTTCATTAACCAGTTTACCACACGTCGCTCACGTCAGCCTCCAACTTTTCCTTCCTGATTTTGCCTTGTCTTGCATTGCAACTGAGTGTTCATCACGACGTCCAGTTGGTGTTAGAATCCCAATACGTTCCTCAGTTGGTTATCTTACGCCATGTTCATTATTCTGTTTACTAGTCTCAAAAATATGCGTAGCTCCGATTTTTACGTTTATAGTCTAGTATTAATTGACCGACGCACTGACGATGGAGGCACGAAGCTACTCCGAAACGTCGATCAGTTTCTACCACACTGCACTGTGCAACATCTCAGAAGACAGTATTCTTAAGCGAGTAACTGTTTAAGTCGCTACCCCGAAATCAATCTTGCGGTTGTTAGCCGTCAATCAGGTGATGCTCATTGTTCCCTAATGTGCTGTACTGACCCGGGGGGGTCCAGCTGACCTCCAACCTCGGAGCGAGGGCGGCCCCGTCAGTCACGCCACGGGGGTCGTCACGTGGCGCTTGTCAGCTCCATGACGCATCCGTCAATGAGAACAGACATCGAGATATTTCTGTAACCCATACACGTCATCATTCCCGCTTGAAATGTGGTTGCTAGATTGAAAACATAGGATGCCTGATCATAATATTTCGTTTGGATATAAACATTGTCTGTTATTTAAAGTTACGTCAATATACAAATTAAAAAAGGCATTTGCGTGGTCAGTGACTATCAGTTACTCAATGAAGACCCCGAAAGAATGAATCACATAACGAGGAGCTTCACAAATTGTATTTTTAACTTTATGTTTTAGAATAGCAAAGAATCGTAGGTTTGCATTGCTTAATCGAAGGGAAGAATCCATTTAGAAGATCAAGTTGTAGATGGAAGGATAATATTAAGATTTACAGTTGATTCCTGTTGATTGGGCCATCGGTTAATCGGGGCAGCTGTTTATTTGGGACAAATCTTAAAGACCAAACCTTTCTAACTCTTTACGTGGAACTTGGCATAATTGGGGAAGCCGCTTAATTGTACCAAATTGTTCTAGTCCTGATGTGCCCAATTAACCGGAATCCACTGTAGCTTAAGTATGGTGTGAGGATGTGGATTAGGTACATATATCTGGATCAGAATAGGGGCCAGTGACGGGCTTTTGTGAGCACGACACTGAACCTCTTGGTTCCACGATAGGCGTGGAATGTTTTGATTACCATGGAATTAGTTGAACAGTCTCGATTATTTTATGGCTCTTAAAAAATAGTACGGAAACATTACAATGGGTTTAGGTTAATTCTACGGAGCGAGTTAGAATCTTGGGTGTCTTTCGAAAATTTTGATGTAGAAGAAATTGAAATAAAAATATAAACACAAGAAAGGTCTTAATATATAGGTCCTACAAGTTATGAAAATTACTGATGGCGCAAACATCCTGTTATATTCGAAATATAACAGGATGTCATTGTCTCTCACTTTATTTTAAAGATTTTCGCTTTGAAGAATTATTTAGGGAACTGCTCTCGAGATTATTCAGAAATGCGTACAGGTCTTCATGCAACGTGACCTTATAGTTGTCCAACTTAGCCAAAATTTAAACACGCGGACAAATTTAAGAAATCCCTACAGTACGACATCAAATATCACGTAAATATGTTGAACAGTAATCAAGTTATTGCATGAGGACAGATGGAAGGACATGTTGTTTTTGTTCCTTGGCTCTATAACCCATCTGTCGGAGGTTTCCTAGTCTTTGAAGCGTGCATTTGTGAGTATTGAGTACCAGCCCACTGACTTTGCACAATTTCTACTCAATCCTGATTTGACTGCTAGAGTCATCTAGCAGTTAATCAGGAGAAATGGCCGCTGAATTTTGTTTACGAAACATCTCGCGAGGTTCTTTTACACGCCGTAAATATACAACATGGGACCGCCGGCTTCACTACGGAAGAACTTGATAAATTTAATAGGCTCTTTGTTTCAAGTCTTCTTTGCGAATTCGCATAAGTTATTAAATGATTTAAAAATACCCGAAGGAAGGTAAGCTACCATACTCCGATCATGTTTCTCATTTTTCAAACGGAGCAAATGACTGAAATGTAATCAATTTCTGTGGAACTTACGCAGTATTTACGTTTCTAAATTAACGAACGTGGAAGGAGATCAAATTATCTGACTCCGTAACGAAGGCAATTTTACATTTCATTATTTAGTAATGTAATATCATCGCACGTTAAATGCCCAAATTGGATTACATTCAATTTAGTAAGAATTTTTAACTGTGCTGTACGGTTTTTGGGTAGCTCAGTCTGTATAATGACTGGCTATGTACTGGACGACCGGGGTTCGATCCCCCCCGCCTCCTATCCCTACTGGGGTCCTTTCCTGGGGGTCAAAGCGCGGCCTGGGCGTGATGCTGACCACTCACCTCCATCTATTGCCGAGGTCAAGAATGAATAGGAACTGTACCACTCTCCCCCCAAGCGCCTACATGGCGTGTATTGGGACAGCTTTACTTTACTTTTGCTATAGGGAGGCTGCTATCAGACTGGGTACGCGTTGACTACTGGTGAACTGACGTATGCATGTGCCGAAATAGGTTTTTCATCTGTGATCATATTAGCACCTTTCAAAATAATTAGGCATTTTTAAATTAAACTGATAGTGCTCTTTAATTGGTTATTTCCATTTCCAAATGTTCTGAAGAGATCCAGGTTGTGGTCTCCTTTGAAGAACTACATTGGTAACATTTACGATGTCGTCCATCACAGATCTGGTTGCAATATGCAGAAACTGGGAACAAGTACAATAACTTACATTCTAGTCTTTTTAAAGACAATGAGTAGGGTTTTACAACTTCATTTTCTCCTTACACTTCTGTATTTAGCAGAACGAGACGGATACAATTAAACACTTGAGAAGGCAGCTGAATCATCCTTATGATGAAGGCAGTAGGCTCCTCTGAAACACATACACACACTTCCGAATCACTGTGCGTTATCTTATTGATATTTCTGATATACACTCTACAGTTGATACAGCGTTATTAAACATTGTAAGAAAATTCTGGGATTGTATTTTGCGGGTCAGTAGCTAGCTACAGCTTCGTTGTCAGGTGGCCCTAGTTTCGGGTCTTGGCTGTGATACCCCGTAGCCAGTTGTTACGAGCTTTTCGTGCTATTTCTCAGCCCCTTCAGGAAAGGGTTGGATTAGTATCTTAAATAGGCCACGACATAACAGCCTTTCAACATACGATATATTTTAAATCTGTTAAGCCTAAGGGTTCGAGCCAGGCACACAGTCATTTTAGGTTCAGAGAAGTCACATACTAGCGCGGTCAGAAGCGTGGGGTGTACGTCACTCGAACACGATCGAGTGGAGGGTTAGACTCCCACCTCAGGCACTTCTAATACTGTGGCATTTCTGTGCCGTGCAGATTGAAGCCTAGCGACGTAGCGACCCCTTAGGCATTCTGAACTGCAACAAGCCACAAGGTCTAATCCGTAAAACAGTACGGGTGTAAGAAGACCGGTCTATTTCAGCTATGCAACTAGCAGTGCGTATTTCACGCTGTAAGACATTAAAAACGGAGTAGCATGGTAACCTAGTAACTTAGAGACCTCTGCTTGTTTTCGCAGATTTAATGTTAATTTAAGACAAGGAAATGGCGGAATGAAGGACAAATAAGTAAAGAGAATGAAGAAACAGATAAATCTAATGTTTTATGTTGTTCAGGACATGTACTTGTTCGTAGCTCGTGTCTGAAAGGGTTAAGAAAAGTTAGGCGCGAAGGTAAAAACTGGCTCCATTGGTCCTTCCAGTTTCTCTGGATGCGGGCAGCCAAGTCGCGGAAGCAACCAGACGAAGCAACATATTTGCGACGGTCGGACAGACGGGACGCCCACCCTAGAAAACATCGTGCAACTGTTTGACGGCGCACGCCACCTAGTAGTGGAGAAGGTGAAGGATACAGAATCCAATTAACGAAGCATTCGAAGACCAGAGATTTTATATTTTTTACACCCAATCCATCCCTTCTCTCTTATTCGATGCTCCTTCTCTGTCTTTTCCCTATTTGAAGTGGAAAAGAAAGAAAGAAACGAAAAAGGAAAACTCGTTTTCGATTTTGTCGCTAATTAGTCTCGTTAACCGGTCACCACAGCCATAACAGGGAGACTGGACCTGCTCTCTGGGTCTCTCTGATAGCAGTGTGCAGTATTTCTTCGCTCTGTGGCCACGCGAGGCGGCGAATTCGTCCAGAACCAGAGCAGCGCTCCTAAATCCTCGTCGAAAAATTTACAGACAGACGGCTCACCTGCTAGCCGCCCGATCGTCGCCCGAGGTAAGCGACAGTTTCGCTACAGGGCTATTGCTTCTTTATTTATAGACGTTCTCTGCTGCGCACGTAATATAGGCCACCGTCGACTGTCTGGGCGATAATGAAGAAAGTGGTTGTGGTCTGTTTCAAGGGAGTTTTCCAGAAATTGTTGTTGTTGTTGATCTACTGGGTTGTAACGCCGTGTGGAACTGTAGGCAGATACCAGCAGGGATGAAGATGGAGACAGTATGTTTACCCGAAACGTTGGTAATTATCTAGAAATACACGAGGTGTTAAAACGCAGAAGATCACCAATGATATATTCATCGCCGCCAGAACCTCAAATCTCGTATCCTAGAACTTACCTAGAAAGATTAACGAGTACGGTCATTCGCCGTTGTCTCCCCCCCTCCACAGTGGTTTCAGGTTTTTCAGTGTCTAACGAGGAATCATAAGATTAATACTAATTATTCTAGAGTATGGTTGGATATTGGAGGCCTAAGGCAACTTCTAGAGATAGGGCCTGTGAGGACTAAGAAAAATATAGGTACCTGTGGCTTGCTGTAACGAACACGGAAATGAACCTTCGGTTTCCGTAGTCGGCTGATAATTTCTTAACCAACTGAGCGATTATTAGCATCTCAAAAAGGATTGTGTCCCATGGTGTTTACTTAGAAAAAAAAAAGTATAGCCTAACTATTTCAAAAATTTTAACTGGGTACGAACAGGTACTTTAAATTCACGTAAAACATAAGGGCCTAAAAGCCCGTGTTACTCTTAGCTTATTTAATTACACCTTATCAAATGCAGGAGCTATGTAAGGTCGAAAGAGTTAAGCTATGATTTGTTTACGGTGAACTTAAAAACCATGGGTGAAAGCGACAGTGGTTTGTTTTATAATAAAGTCGGTGTTAGGTACTCCAACCCGCTCTGTATATACAGACATAATATCAAAAGAGGTGCTCACGGCGTGGTCGGACATGTAGCTCGAAGGGGGAAATGGAGAAACTTTCAGAACTCTTGAACGGCAGCTAATTAAAGGACCTAGAAGGACCTGGGATGATAATACAGTGACGAGTCTTGGATGTCATCTGCTTCAGAATCATGTCAAATGGGGAATTTGCTTCATATTTGCAACTGCGTAAAAATATTTTTATTAAGGACACAAAATGTTCGTTAAAGCAGCGTCGTCCCTACGTAAATAAAATTAACTAAATAAAAAATTGATGTTATTACTAAAAAGTAATTGAAAAGGCACTCTTCTATAAGGATGTAATTTTAATTAATCTTACCTAATTTCATAATCGAGGTCGTCTGTAAGGTGAGGCGGCCGCCCTGATCCCCTTCTGGGTTGCTGTGTCGGGTAGTCTTATATTTTATCGACGTTTCAGTGGTCCTTGCTTCCTCCATAATTAAGGCGATAAGTCCCTGATGATGGAGGCAGCATGCACCTCCGAAACGTTCGTATACGTCTACCAGACTACTCGGCGTGTTACCTTCTTTCAGTGAGTGAAATGTTACAGTTGTAACACTGAAACTTGCGTGATGTTTAAGAGCCTCTATGCATTTTTGAAATAGTTGTGCTTGCAAGTTAAAATAAATCACTATTAGGATATAATGGAATTTTAAAACTGTATTAAAATGTTTATTGTTAAAGTACTTATCATTTTAGAGCATTGTGATGTCCTGTTTGACGTTTCTGCTTTGTTTTCTTGAAATGTTACGCTTTATCGTTGGATATCTGGATCGTTTACTCTTGGAACTTCTGTATGTGTACTGTTTGTTATAACTGGTGTATCGTTATCATAAATGTTTAAAACTTTATGATTGTATGCATTTACCACATATTAAACTTTAGAAAAGGTGTCATTAATGTCCTGATACAGGCCGAAACTAGTTTGTCTTTATATTTTGACAACCAATGTGAATGTAATTTGAGATTTGATGTCGTGGCTGTGATAGTGACGAAGACAGCGTATTTCTCCGAAATGTTGGCATCTAATGACGAGTCTACACGGCGCCAAAATCCAGGAGAACAAATATATCAATATGAATAAACTTTTGATGATGTATCAAAATAGTATTTGTATTACAACCGTTAATCTACGGTCTTCGAGAGCACTTCCTGCAAGGCGACAATGAATTCCACTCCTCCACAGAAGTGCAGAAGTAGTGTGAGTCTATATATAGTTTTCTCAACATCGTATAGTATCAAATAGAACAGAGACAGCGAATTTTTAATTAAGAATAATTTTGAATAAGGCAGTAGAGTCCTGTTTTAAGGTGGACGGACTGTTAAAATCGTCTAAGTCCCTGTGATAATTGTTATCTGGGACGAGAATCGAAGATGGGGCCTTTCAGAGACGAAGCATGTGTGTTAATCACTGTAGAAAACGGTGCGAAGTCAACGAAGTGACTGAAACACACGCAGTTAACTAAGGTCTGGACCTACGCGGGACAATCGTGACGTGGGACGGTCCTGTCAGATGCCGGTCTGCGACGAGATAGTATCAGCGGTGGTTTTTACTACCGATGGCGTGCTTAAGTGAGGGCCAGTGGAGTCTGATTTCAATCCTCTCACCCTTGGATCAGCTTATGAGGGTGAGTGATACTGAAAACCCAAGTGTGAAATTAGGTCATGTGAAAATGTTAACTCATTAGATCTAGGTCACACAGATTTAGAGGAATATAAACTGTTGAGTTCCGCACCTAACAGATACAAAACAGGAGAAAATGTGGTATCTACAAGAAAGTTTTGCCGTGCTGTGCCGAAACGTTTTAATATAATTGTACATGTTATTCTCGTTATACGCGTTTTCCTATATCAGATGTTTTATTTCAGTATTATGAAAGGATCAGTATCTACCCGAGGTCAAATTTTAAAGCCTGTTACATGCATCGAACCTTCTTTAGGTTTATCAGGTAATGGTCTGCAGATGATAAGCCTAACACAGAATTCTGACACAAGTTTAACATCAAAATAGCGATTTGATGTTCGTTTCCCGTCTGTGCGTCCGAGGTCCGTTTGAAGTGAACGGCTAGGGATTCAGAGGGTTGGGAGGTGTGGTAGATAATATACATTATTTCCAAGCTGCAGTATTTTGTAGCTCGTAGTTTCAGTACCTATATCGGTAATGATTTGGCTTACATAGTATATGTTTTCCTTCCACCCGCAAGATAGTGACATGGGAAAAGAACGGAATTTGTTTCCGTGTACAGCAGATGAAATGTATAAATTACGAAACTTCTAATTCTGTTACGTTTTTGGCAAAAGAAATTGCTCGCAAGAAAATCAATTTCTTTTTGGCTCTACACGATTTCGTAGAGGAAACGGACGGAAGAAAAACTTTCCACCACAAAGTCTTGATGTGTTACAGACAGAAATTTTCAGTCCATTTTTAACATTTTGCCAGGACTGTCTCCTTAGAAGCGTAAAATCACTGGCTGCTCTCGAAATGACAAGCAGGCTGACAGATGGAACCAGAGCCACTATCAGATGATGAAGAGAACCCAAGGGCCTCGGAGTTCCGAATCTTTTGATCGCGCGGTTACTTAAAACTTCACGTCCGTGTTATCTTGTTTTAAATTGACATCACAATCACAGAGTTATGCGTGCCAATGGAACAACTGCCAACAAGATAAAAACATCAGAATTGTGTGTTGAGCTGTGGGCCCAACAGTGCGGTCACAAAATGGGCTAGCAGCTACCGGGGCTTAAAACTGACACAGACAGATTTTTCTAAAATATCTGTCTGATCCATTTAATCATAATTTTAGAAAGTATTCAACTTCATAGGGCAGAGTCCTTCTAGATAATCTAATAGTTGGAAAATAATTTCCGGTCATTTATGTAACCTGAAATTTCATTACTGTTTTCCAAGCTTAAGAACCAGCCAGTTACATTCAGTACAAATGTTTATATTCTATTCTGTTAAGACGCAACATCATCCCATCGTATCTCAGATCTAGCAGGTGTTCTCTTTCCTTCGTGTTTACCAATGTTTTGTATACATTAATTACCTCTGCAGTCGTGATTTATGGACCGTCCATCATATCCTTCTTCGTATCTCATAATATTTGGTGAGAAGCACAGATTATAAAGCCCCTAATTGTAATTTTCCGCGACATTCTGTCACTTTCTCAGTTTCACGTACAAATTTTCTTCTTAGCTCCCTGTTCTCAAACAAAATGATTCGCTGTTCTTCTTTAAACCTACGCGATAGCGCCTCAAACTGTCAGCAGTTTGTAATCATTTTACAGTAAATGCTCTGATGAAGTTGAACGCAACTGTCAACCCCAGCTTCCAGCTGGAACTGCATATCTCACAGCCATTCCCGATGCGAATTAAGTATCGCCGTAAAAAAACAATGAAATCGACTTAATTCTTTGTAGCAGTTGCGTTCAACTTTGTAAGTGAACGTAATATAGATTTATAGTTATGAATTGCTACATTCTACAAAGCAGTTTTAAACAACTTTTCCTGTTTGATAAGGATAATCGGATTATGCGATAGAAATTGGAAACTTTGTATAACGTAGGCGTAATTGTTATAGAGTTTGTTTAAGTCACTTTTTGGTATAATTATAGTCTACAAAATCAGTAGGGAGCATGAACATGGTTGAACTTATCATTTGTGCCTTCATCAAACGAATTGTATAATTGAACGCCTAACAGTTCATTTCATCCTTGTGTATATTTTATCTTCGAAACTATTATTTAGCTGGAAAAAATAATTTGTAAGTAGTAAGTCGTATTATACAGCACTAAATTATAGAATTATTAACACTTTACAGCCCAGTGATAACTGAGTTTACCTGCTTCAGAACAATCAGTAGCTACGCATTTCATATTTATAAGTTTCTTGATTCTCACTGCAAAAGAGAGATTGTTTCCTTCAAAGTTCTATTCTTACTGCAATGTCCAGCATCCTACTCATTATTCTCGTAGGCACTGTTAAGAACAGACTGACTATATGGCAACCATGTACATGTAAATTGAATACGAAGAAAGGAGCTTTGGAATTACGTCATCATGTTTAAATTATTTTCTACTCTACCATCTCAGAGTTCTGTGACAGTCAGTAATGGGCATCTTAACCTTTTCATTTACAGCTCCCGCATCTCATGAAACCCATTGTAACTATTCACGTTATGCAAAATTTTACGTGCCTGTTTACGATAATATTTATCAATATTGAAAATTTCTGGGCACGGCACTATTCTGCCGGTAGCCATGTCCCGGATACCAGAAGCAGTAACAGCTTGAAGCACTCCAGACACCAAAGGAGGCAATTATCAGAGTTCCTTAAATTGCTCTCGTACATAACACCCACAAGGAAGGCCACACCATTACTCCTTGTGTCAGAGCCTCGTAACGTTATGTATTGCCCAATTAAAGGTATAAAACGATGTAAGTTAGTTTTGGAAGGTTCTTAACGGAATTAATCGAATGGCGACGGTCAAAGATAGGCAAGGACAGGTGCCTGAAGAATTAAGAAGCACCCTTTTATCTTCACAACGCGAATGTTCGGCAGCTGTTTCACTCCAAAATTCCTCCCATTGGTTATAAAATTGTTAGAAACAAAGTCACTACAATACTGAGATCCATTAAGACTGTAATGGTCCCCAGTTTTCATCCGAAAAAGGTAGCGTTCTCTTGTTCTGTAATTTGTCCCTGTCTCCGGCTACGCTCATCAAATTACAGGCGTCGAGGACTTGACTAAAGAGTAGATCCATATTAGGAATTAGATTTAACCCTTTGAAGCTGGGAGATCTTCTAAATAACATTTTATAATTCAGTCAGTACAGCAAAGAAAACACAACACTTTACCCATAAAAATATCAAATGGTGATGTTGTTTAAGGAAATAGTCGCTGTTCATTCTAAGAATTATGCAAGACCCACAAAAATAGTACACCTTTGCACCAAAATCATCAATCAACGATAAATGCGGTGTGCGATATCCCTGACCAAGCATATCATTATACTCACATTCCTAAGTTAGGGACTTCAGCCCTAACCCAGCATGTAATTGTCTTCAAGCTAATATTATTTGCACGTATTGTTAAAATTTATTCTGCATTTTTCTCCATAACATAAAATCTTTAATTTTCTGCTCAGATTCAACATGCAAATCGCAAAACTCAAAATATTACTTGTCTAAAATTTACATCTTTTTTTACGTTCGGTATTATCATACCAGGCGGCTCTGTAGTACCAAACACAACACTGGTAACTAAACCAAGAGGAAGAAGAATAATAATATGATTTTCTTTGCATATTATCGAATAGCTTTTACTGTGGACTTCTAGATTATGGCGTTGTGTGGAGTCATAGGTGAGTGCAGACGCTAAAGATGAATACTGCCTCTATATTTAGGGATGAAGATACAAGTACACGTGCGTTGTAACCCAGAAGTTCACCATCAACATATTTACCTCCGTGAGAACCTCAACTAATCGTACACCACTACATTATCTTCGTGGCGATGATGCTGAACCCTCACCACGCAGGATTATATTGTAAAATTGTAACTTCACAGCGACTTTGAAGTCATGACTTTCAAATATTGGCCAATTGATCTACAAGGCTTCATGCTGACAAACTAACCCTGTAGGTTGCTCTAAGCCTTGGGTATTTCTCTCTAAAACCAGCCCAAAGAGACGACAAAACCCGACGGAAACCTGACAAAGAAGTGACACACCGCATAAGGCTCTCTATAGCCTACGTATATGCCTAGTAACGAGAGAGACAATTTCGAAAGCTATAATTAGTAAGGAACCTTCCTCCCTGTGTAAGATGTTTCCGTTCACTGTATCGGAAAGAAAATAATGAGGACTTTGCCAGACTTGTTTTGCATTTTGTTCCACTTTGTCTTCCTATTATTTTTTTCAAGAGTTCAACTAAGTGATGTAAACAATACCACGTCTTCGTATTCCATTTCAATCAGGGCGGCCGTTTGCAGAAGCGAAACTTAAATCCTCTGTTGATATTTCCGCCACTCTGCACAGCTGTAAGAAGCCAGCGGGGCTATTGCAAGGGCCCAGAGCTGAAAGAACTCATCTACTGTAGCCAAATCGGTGCTGCCTTATGCGAGGAGTCAGTGTTACCACAAGAAGAGACGAACCCACGCTGCAAAATTTCTGTTTTTAAAATTGGCGACACTGCAGCAGAGTTTAAATATTTGTGTCGTAACGAAAGTAACGTATCAGGATTATATATTCACGAGGAAGTTACGAGTCTATGAAATTTGGACGAATTCTTGCTATCATTCAATTCAGAACGTTTAAATGCTGCCAAAATATAAAGAAATACATCGTTGTTTAGAGCTTTAGTACAAAACACACACGGAAACTGTTCATTTGAAACACACGTATATTAAGTTATTTTCAGATTCGCCATCGTTTCAGATTTACGACTTTTTGCGTTTACGCAGCTTTAATTGTTATGTCTACTTCAGCCAACAGACGTTCGCATTTATTTCATTTAAATTATTATTTGTAGTAATTTTATTATTTTACGTTCTACACGAACGTGACCAAAGTTAATTTTACCTTACAAGATCTGAATTTACGAGCCGTGAACTGGACCACTCACAATGACATGTAGGTAGACGACAAACATAGGCGTTTTCACTTGGTTATAAAGTTCTCCTGCAGTCTGAGAGTTGAAAAACTATATTGTGGGAGGGTGCACTGTCTTCTTTTGTAAGGAGACTCTTAATTTGATGCTGTTAACTCGAAGCTTTTCCTTAGATTTGATTCCGGATCGTGCTGGGTTCACTGGGGTGAACGTGTCGTTATGGCAACCAGAACTAGCTGTGCACGCCTCGCTGCCGGTGGACTCATTAACTTTTGTTGGAGACGTGAGTTCCTCTACTTAAACAGCATCCCCTCGACTGGAGACACACAACTCGATGGAAGTTCAAAAATGTTACAGGATGAACATACGAAAAGCTCACGATTTGTACTGACATAATGGAGACAATTTCGGCTTCAAGTAGCTAAGTAGCTGAAGACGACTCTCTACTAGGATGTTGCGTCTTGAATATTGAGGCAGCAAGCGACTCTCAGACACAGATAAACTACCAGATTGCACGGCGCCATATCCAAGAAGATAAGTCATCCTCATACTCGCCGCCATGTGAACTTGAAATATCAGAAAATCTAAAAATGTATAAAGTGAAGATTTCGCGGCTACTAAAGTTGATGAAAGATTCTTGGGTTACAAGCCGCGTCAGATGGCTGAATAGTGAATAAACCATATCTACTGTCAACGTTTCGAGAGAAACCTCTGCCCTCATCCTCAGGGCAAGCAAGAGTTACAAATCTGTTATTGTAAGACATCAAGGGAAGAGCCCACTTTTGAAACCTATGCGTAGATGGACCTGTTATGTTAAAATATAATATATCTTACAGGACTAGGGGATATACCAGGGGTTTATACCTTTTTTATAAAATAACTTGTATTGATAAACAGTGATACGAGGACCGGGAGTTAGTATTACATACACGACATCAAAAAACGAGAATATTATTATGACTATTATGTTATACATTTATTGAAATAAGGAATGGCAATATTTTCAATGTTAGAAAGATTTATAGATTTTATAACTAAGGGTCTGGATATCCACGTACGTATTTTAATTTTCTTAAATATTTTAATAATTCGATATTTCAATAATTGTAAATAAAATATGAATACGATAGGCACCATTATACTACAATGTGTGAGATAATAAGCATTAGTATGGGGGACAATATAAATTATGTATTGTCTGCAATAACAACTTTATTTAATCTTGTGCCTGTTAATTGTAACTACACGGTAGTATGAGAAATTACAAGATTGTACGTTGTAATTAACTTGTCATAATAAATGCGTTTCACTGAAATATAAGAATTCTAAAGCCAGTGAGGTATAAAGTATAGGAAAGAAAGACTTTGGTAAAAATAAATATAACTCCAAATTGGAATAGGCCCTGCGCCTTTCCACTCTTGTTTCCAGAACTGCTTATTCTGATTAGTGAGCCATTACACTCTCTTGTTCGTCTGGAGTCCATGTAAACCTGGAAGAATGAGCGTATCGCGTTGAGGTTAGAAATCAGCCCC